TACTTTCTTTTTATATTCCGTAGCTTGTATGTACTCAGCGTTGCTGATTGCGTGCTTTTCTGTGGTCGTGGCCTTCACCTTTCAATGACCATGTTATGATTCAATTTTTACACTTGTAATATTGGGGAGCATACTAATCACATGTATTTTCATAAAGTGGGACTTGTATCAAGTGATGGGTAATTGAGTGGAGAGTTGGTTCTACTTATTATTTATTCCCCGCTTAAACATTGAACTTTCTCAAACTCCGCTTTGATTTATATACTACTTCGTAAATCTAGTTTTGAATAAGGGCCTTTATGGTTCCAATTTGTAAGATTTTATTTGGTTTTGAATTATTAGTTTAAACTTTATCTTATTTGAACTAGTTTTCCGCTGTTAAATTCTAAAATAGCTTTAACATTTGAACACGTGACGGTAGCACGTCAGTAATTCTCTTGGATTTTGTTCAAGGTATATACAGATTTAAAGATAGAATTATTGGGATGTTACAATTCGGCTCAGTCCAGTTCAGCTCGGTTCATTAAATGAGAACAGACCAAGTTGTTAAAGTTACCATAAAAATAGTTAAAGTACGCTCAAACTGACCATTTTATAATAAAATTAATATAAACCCGCTGTACACAAGACTTAGCCATTATTTAAAGGACAACAATATATTTTTTAATCACAAAGGACAAACAATTTGACCAAAAGAAACTTATTTTGAATCAAATTAAAATCCATTATCATATCATAATTTTCTTATATGTGGAATGAGATTTAGTGATTTAAGTAATTTTTTATACGTACTTTAGATTATATGAAATAAATAATTTACCATTTCCCGTCAAAAAAAAAAATTTACCATTTAATTTATATCACAAAACTATATTGGCTCTAATATCCAAGTTACAAGTATATTTACAAAATAATTGACATTATATGTGGGTTCAAACAACGTACTATTAAAAAAATATATTAAAATTATTTATAAAATTAACAAATTACGTTAAACTATTACTCGTGATTTTTGTATTATCTTTTTCATATTAAATAATTCAATGTATGAGGGAGGAGCACGAGAAAGAAGTTTTACAAGGCCTGAGTTGTCTTCTATCAACCTTCTAATCTCAGTTTCAAGCATGTTCAAGTGATTGATATAGTGAATCAAACTGTAACGAACAAGCTCTTTGTTGACGATTTTATGAAGGAAACAAACGTGACGTGTTTTCCTCCATGTTTAGTTTCTACAAATTCACAAAAAGAAGCAGAAAGTAAGAAAAAAAAATCGTAGATAAAAAAATGATGACGGGGAAAAAATCCAACTATCGTAGATTAAAATTGATATTTTTCACTCCTTGTAGAGTTAATTTTAGAAAATCAACTTTTTCCTTCAAGTTATTTAGCTCGCGATTAGGTTGAGAATTCTCCATAACACGAGAGAAAAGAGAAATGAAAGAAGAGAAACAGAAAAATGGAGAAGAGAGAATGAGAGGGGAAAAAAGAGTTAAAAGAGAAACAAAGAAATGGAGGAGAGAGAATGAGAGAAAAACTGAGAAATGGAGAAAAGAAATAAAGAGAAAAACAGAGGAATAGAGAATAGGAATAAAATAGACGGGAAGGAGAAAATACAAGTTTATGTTGATGATAAACAAAATCCATTTATCTACGAGTACAAACGTCATTTTATGCCTTTGAGTAGGGATTATTATGTCATTTCAACTGCAAACAAATTTATTTATTTATTTTTATTCATTTCGAATGGTAAACAAAATTTAATAGTATATCTTCAAGCTTACAGCGTGAATTGACGGAGAGGCAACAATGAAGGATATCAATGGAGAAATTCAATAAACAAAATCAAGCTCAATACAACTCTCAATGGATGACGTAGTTGCCTCTATCCTTTGGGGTTGACCATACCCTTAATTTCACTCGTTTTCATAGGGTTTTTCTTTACTATCATCGTTGTCGGAAGGTGGTGTCGACCTTGTCGGTAAAAGCTGGAGTCAAAGATGTTTAAAATGGTGGTACTTATAGTTAGTGGTAGAGCAACTAAGGAACAAGGGGGGAAAGCTGACCCCCAATTCAAAAAATAAAAAATTTAAGGGTTGTTTTTTTTTTTTTTTTTTTTTTTTTTTTGGGATTGGTAAATTAATCCCAAATTTCACGTATTCACTTTAAATTATCATAATTCCAAGTTTTGATTATTACTAAATAATTCCAACGTTGGGGTGTATTCGCTAAAAATGGTCCCTATTGATCGGTTATTGGTCAAAGAGTTAATTTTTTTTTGGTTTAACTAACACACGTCATCACGTGATTGGTTAAAATATAAAAAACTAAATAAAAAAAACTTTTAAAAAAACCAGCTTCCACCAATAACACAGCCCCAACTACCAGCAATTCCCGGCAACACCTCCCACAACTCGGCCAAGCCAGGTTGTCGGCCACCACCAGATCCCCTCTCCCGCACTGGCACCACCTTCCCGGCGACCCTTCCCCAAAAACGACCAAATCCGCCCACCCTAAAACCTCCATGATCAAACTCAACATCAAACGGACCCTTAAAAGGATCAACCAAACCTAGGAATGGCAACGGATCGGACTCAGGTCGGACTATATAGGATTTGACTCCGATCTTCCACATAATCGAACCCAAAATCTGGCTCCACCTCCACATCCGACTCCGAATAGCTGAGCTCCGAATTTGATCCGATAACTTCCGTCAACTCTGGCTCACCACCTTCACCACTGGCGCGGTTCTCCCTGGCCCACCGTCGTCGCTCTAACGCACACTGCCTACTCCCCTTAGCCGACCAACGAAACCATGTCAACCCAACCCAATCGACCACCTGAACCACGCACCACACCGTATCCAGCCTTAGCCCCCGATTCGATTTGGTTTGGGCGCAGGTTAGGGTTCAAGTGACAATGACGGTGAAGGTGAGAGATGTAAAGCGGTAATTGGGTTTAGGTGTGGGTTGGAGTGTATCGGCGATGGATCTGGGTAAGGAAGGGGAATTCGGTGGGGTGGCGTGATGTTGCAGTGGCAGGAGAGTTCTCCGACGCCTTAGGTTTGCGTCGTGGGGTGGTTTGCGTCGTCGTGGTGGGGTTGATTTTCGTTGGTTTTGGGTGGGGGCTGGGAGTATCGACAAGCGACAGCCTAGGCTAGAGTGTCGGCGGCTGGGATGTGGCTCCGGCGGTGGGGCTGGCTGGGTTAAGGGGATAGATTTTTTTAAAATATTTTTTTTTCTTTTATTTTTTAAACCAGTAAATTATTGGCACGTGTCAATTATGGGATCCACTTTACGGTTTATTTGGATGGAAAAGTTAAGTGGTGGTGAAATCAAATTTTTAAGTTTTTTTTTTTTTTTTTTGTGGTGTTATAATAAAAACTTTTTTTTTGGTGGTGTTATAATCAAAAGTTTGGTTTTTTTGTGGTGTTATTTTCTAATTTTTCAAAAGTATAATTACGTTAATTTTTTGTCCCTTCCAAGCTCAATTTTGATTCTTAAGGAATAAAATTAACCCCTAAAACCGTGTAGCTGAATTTATATGTGGTTGGTCACACCGTGTGGCAAGACTTACTCGACTTACTCGATCAGAAATTATTTGAGGGGTTCGGTCAGGAGTTATTTGATCAGGGATTATTCAAAGGGTAACTTGGTCAGGGGTTATTTGATCAGAGGTTACTTGAGGGGTTACTCTAAAGGTAACTAGGTCAGGGGTTATTTGAAGGGTTCGATCTGGTGTTACTTCATTTGGGATTACTTGAGGAATTACTCGGTTATGAGTAACTCGAGTCAAACCAGAGACCAAAGCCCGACTCGACAAAACAAACCCCAACCACACAAAAAAAATCCTCTGATGAAAGAATTTCATAAAAATTTAGATGATTAAATTATTTGTAGAATACGATGTATAAACACATCAAATACTTTCCTACGTAGAAAAAAAAAACATACTCCGTATTATCCTAATATCTGCGTAAAGTGTTTAAGAAGGCGTACAACATTATTAATTGTACTATATTATCTTAATTATCTTAATATCTCTAAGGGGGTGTTTGGTTTAAACAATGGTATGAGTTTGGAATGAGGAATGAAACCTAGGTGGTATGGGTTAGAACTTGATATTTGATTTCATGTGTTTGGTTTTTATTTAGGAATGATAGTTTTCCTATTAATTTTAAACCTAAAGGTATGAGCCATACCCACCTCCCACCTTGGGGATTTGAAGTATGAATTTGAAAAATGAAATTTCTAGAAACAAACACAACGTATGGGATTTGGTCATTCCAAACTCATACCTTATACCTAATATGCTTGAACCAAACACCCCCCAATATGAATGTTTGTTTGACCATCAACTTACTTTACCAGGTTTACAAACTGGTAAACTTCCAATCATCACTTGTTCTCCTTTGTCAACAATCTTTTACGGAGTACAAATTACAATTGCTTTGCCCTCTTTACCTCTTTCTCTCTCTTCCCTCTCCCAAACGGCCAAACCAATCTAAATTGCTCTACAATCCAAGAATACCTCATTTCAATCGGATTTCAGTTCCAATTTCTAGGTCCAAATGAATTGCGAAGTTTGCCGAATTGGTTTGTATCCTTAATTTTTTCTGATTACCTCTTCAATCGTCGATTGTACTAGTATTTTAATTTTTTTATTTGAATTTTTTAAAATATTTTTCACAATTTTGTTGCTGGAAGTAGAGCATTCCGAAATTAGAGAAGTTTTGCGATGTAAGATTACCCCTTTTTTCTTTGTAATTGGCTTTTGTTACGATATTTATGGTTTGCAGATGATTATATTAACCTGTAATTGCAATCAATTAGCAAATTCTCAACTTAAAATTTGGTCTTCTTATTGTATCAATATAATATCTGGGTCATTTCTACCCGCCCTCCTTGTATGTTAAGCCATTCCTTTTTTTTTTTCTTTTTTTTTTTTTTTTTTTTTTAATTTTTTCTCCCCATTTGGCTATTTTAATTTATCCTCCTAGATAAATGTTGGACTCAAATTTTAGGACTGAATTGACTTTGTATCTAAAGTATATTGATTTGGTGGTAGTTGAAGTAAGTAGTAGAGTTCCCTGAAAAGAAATCATTGTTTATATTCTTCCCTTTATCTGGAAAGTTATCACATTACTAGTTTAAATCACAAAATTCATGCGACAGACAACTGTTCCATGGGTGGCTTGCGGGGAGAGAGGGGGGGGGGGGGGGAAGCACATCTTAGTGAGCATGTCATTACTCCTTAGTATATGTGGTTTTGTCAATGTTGTTGATAGGGCTGAGCAAAATTAACCGAAAACCCGAAAACCCGTTCCGTTACCGTTCCGACGATCCGATAACCATAACGGTTCGGGTACCCGTTCCGATAATTTGTTATCGGGTATGGTTTTTGGGTATCATTTTCAAATTAACGGTTACCCGTTCCGTTCCGATAAGCAATTATTTTGTTTTTTTTCCTACTTAAATCTATCTTTTCAATATTTAAACTCTTACATTACTTCATAATCACTATATAATATCAATAATTAGTAATGTTATTAATAATTTGGTCAAGATTATGTGGTATTGTTGTTAATTAGTGTTAAAAAATATCATATTAACTAATTTTTTAAGTTTAATTATCACTATTGGATACTTTATTGGGTACCCGATAACTGTTCCGAAAATCCGGGTACCGGAAGTCCGGGTAACCGAACTTATCGGTTCGGGTACCCGAACTTATCGGTTCGGGTTATGGATATCACTTTTAATGATATTGGTTATCGGGTACCCGAACCGTCAGTACTAATGGTACGGGTACCCGTCCCATGCTCACCCCTAGTTGCTGATTTAGTATGTCATAGGTAATCTTACCTCCTCGGTATATGTGGCTTTGTCCATGCTGTTGAAATGGTGTGTCTTAGGTGCTCTTTCCATACTACATAAATCCCAAGGTCTTAGCTTTTTTTGTTTAATTGGTGCTGTACAGATATGTTTGTCTTTCTACGAAGTAAAGAGCAACAAGGCGATATGGTTCTCAAACAAAGTTGAACGTCTGTATTGGGAACAATGGTACATCAATCTGAATGTTGCTCAACATCGCAAACCAACCTCTAGCAAAACTCACCACTCCAAAGTTATAGACTCTGGTTAGTTTGTTAGCATGCTTGTATGATTGTGTTTGCTCCTAGAGATATCCCCTGTTTTTAACCTGTTATGAATGATTTTAGAGGGTGCATCCGAGGAGAGAAGTGCTCGTAGGGCTGCAATTGAAGTGTCACTTCGGGAGGTTCTCTTTCAAATAATAAAATTTGTAAATGAGAAAAAGGATCATATTCCTCCCATTCCAAGTCGTGAAGGAATCTCATTTCCCTATGAGATTACTATCCCAAGGTGTGGCATCTATACCCTTTCTGGTTACTCTCATATTTTCATGTTCAATCTCTCAATGAGTCCACTTGGTGTTTTCTGCTCTTGAGGATTTGTTTTAACACTAACCTAGCTGTTTTTCTATTCCTTGCCTTTTATGTTCTTTTTTTTTGGGGGTTCCTGCATTAACTTTATAATTTGAAGTAGTACGTTGTAAATGGTTCGAAGCTGATTACCGGTTTTCTCCAGAAGAGCTTAAATGTGTTCATATTTATTTTTTCCCTGCCAAAGTTGTCTTTGGATGCTAGTGTGAAAATTGCAATTGATTGGATGAGTTGTATTCTTGTATACAATTAAACATGAATTCAAGTCTAACACTTTCATGCATATCCATGTTTGACACAATCACCCAAGTCTGAAAAACATAATTCTTAATAGTTGACTGTATGCGTAGAGCAGTGCAGTAAATCTCATCATCTCTGTATTCAGCTCTTTCCGATTCTTCTTATTCATGTTCACAGGTCACCAAATATCATGACTAATAGACTGTACTAATGTAATTCTATTTCATTCAGCTCATCAGACACTACGTTTGGGATGGATATGATCAAAAGGATGCTCCAAACAGGCCATCCAACCATGCTTAGCTGACAATTCAATGGTAAATCAGTTCATCAGAAAGATTTTAATGTGGTCAATCTGGAACAGGGTCGTAAAAGGTGAAAAGGTGACCGGGATTCATGTCTTAAGTGCTCTACATCTTTTCCTCAGAAAAAAAAAAAAAGTGCTCTACATCTGTAAATAGTGCCTTCTTGTTTTCTCCTCTTCATATCTCACGTACGAGTAATTCCCTACTCTTCTCTTTACTATAATGCTGCAAAGGTTAAAGTTTCGGCAACTTGCTTGTTCATATCTAATCTTTATGCATATAAATATAATGTCTTGTCCCTATTATTATTATTAACAAAATTTATTTTTCTTATAAACCTGTATCAAAATCTTCCTTTCTCCTTTTCTTCACCTCATGAGAAGTTTGTCATTGCTCGAATCTTGGCAATGTACTTTAATAATTTGATTTTGACAAGACAATTTTGGACTTTAGGGTAGGATAGTTTCATATTAACATGGGAATTTGAAATGAGTTAGTTGTTTGGTTGACACTAAAAAATGAAAATGAGGGAATTGCAAATTCATGGGAATTGTGACTTCCCACAAAACATGGGAAGTTGATTACCCAACCCCCCTAGGTAAGTCAAAATTCCCATGATTTGCAACTTCCTTCATGTCAACCAAACAATTTTAAGCAATTCCCATGAATTTGATGTAGGAATTTAATTCCCATGAAATACAAATTCTTATGGGAAGTAAATTCCCATAACAACCAAACGACACCTAAATTATTAGTGTGAAAAATGCAAGTAGGCCCCACAACAATCATGGAAAATGTGACTTACCAAGGTGGGGACTCGGAAACCGCAAGTGATTTTTCATGTATGTTTCATGTGAATTGAAACTTCTTTTGGAATATTCATTTTCCCCAATTTGATGATTTTGAGTCACAAAACAGTCCATAGGGATAGTTCAAGTGGTTAAAGTTTTCCTCGCTTTTATGACTCTATAATCACTAAATATTCATTTCCTAGGAAATAGAATTGTTCCTATATTTTACCTCCAACCAAACATCATCTATGATTATGTTGAAGTGCGTTACATTGTAAGAATCGCACCAAATTATCTTCATTCCGATCTCACCAGAAGTTATTGTGAAGTGGTTACATTCTAAAGTTTGCTTATATAGTGATAACTGATAATGGCCAGCCAGACAAAGAAGGGTTGGTCAACACACGCTCTCTTTCACATCATCGCCTTGTCTTTTCTCTGTAGAGTTAATACTGTTATTCTACACCCGTATTCAAATAATAACCATCCTCATCATCTGAGAAAGTACTAGTACTATAAATTGGTATTTATAAAACAAAAAGTAACCTATTTATGTAATTTATAATCAGCCATATATATTGTTATAAAACAAAATCAATCAAGCTAATCAAAAAGGGAATAAAGAAAAATGAAGCACTTTGTACTAGTGCATGGGACCTGCCATGGAGCCTGGTGCTGGTACAAGCTAATCTCTCTATTAAGGCAAGCGGGCCACCAGGTTACAGCCGTTGACCTTGGTGGATGTGGTGTCCATGCTCGGCCGCTAAGTGAGATTGAAACCATTGATGACTACGTGGAGCCTTTGATGGATGTCATGAGGTCCATTGATCCACATGACGATGGTGGCCGTGATAAGAAGGTTGTGCTTGTGGGACATAGCTTTGGTGGAATCGCAATCTCTATGGCTATGGAGAAATTCCCAGAGAAGATCCTTGTTGCTGTTTTTCTGTCTGCTTATATGCCTAATTGCTCCTCTCCTCCACTTACTCTCGTTCAAGAGGTACGCTGTCAATATTCTTCACTATGTATCTGAATGTGGTGCTCATTTGCAGGTGTATGGCAATTATACTACAGTATAGTTGCCAGCCTAAAGTTCAAGTTACTGAAGGAAACTATCTCTTGATTTGGAGTCAAACAATTGATGCAAATGTACGATTCTACTGTGTTCGTACTAATCTGTTTTATCATTCAACAGACGTTCAAGAGAACACCTTTGGAGGGGTTTTTGGACACGACATTCAGGTTTGATAATGGTCGAGAAAAAGCAGCCACTCATCTAGTTTTTGGTCCTAAGATTTTGAGCACTAAACTCTACCAAAATTGCCAGCCTGAGGTAATTAATCCCACAAACATGAACCTGGGCACCGTGCCGGGCCGTGCCTGGCGGGCCACGGGCTGGTTCGTGTTGTGCCCGTCGTGCCGGCGGGCCCAGGATTTCGTGTCGTGCTGTGCCGGCCATTTTCACAGGCCAGCCCACGGCACGGCCCTCGTGCCTGGCGGGCTCGTGCCGTGCCGGCCACGTGCCGGCCTGCGGGCTAGCAGCGGGCTGGTGCAGTTTTCAATTTTTTTTTTTTTTTTTTTTTTTATGACAACATTATAAATTAATAAGTTTATAATGTATATAAGTTATAAAATTATAATTATAAGTTTTATAAGGTTATAACTTATAAGTTTATAACTTATAAGTTATAAGTTATTAAGTTATGAATTTTATAATTATAAGTTGAATATTTATATTTTATAATTTGTATATTCAATATTTATATTTATATATTTACTTTATACTATTACTTTAAAATTTAATGTTTATGATTTATTAGTAATTGGTATAATTTTATTTTTTTTTAATATGAATTTACAAATTGTAACAAAACGGGGAAAAAAGGCAAATTGGACTTTGGATGTGAATAATGCGTACTTTATATTATTATTACTTGAGTTGAGAAAATTGTACAATGATAACAATGATAAAAATCATACAATGATGGTATTAACAAAAATTGGAAAATGATAAAATTGATATTTTTAAAATCGTACAATATACAATAATTGTCTATTCTTCTTCTCCTTCTTCTTGCTCGTCTTCGTCTTCGTCTTCGTCTTCGCCTTCGCCTTCAAGGTCATCGGCTAGTTGCATAGATTGGGAACTAGCCGAACCCGAACCGGAAGCGGAGGTTCCTTCTTCGTTGTCGTTGTGGTCGTAAGAACGGTCTTGTGAGCGATTTTCCGCATCCAACCAATCTTTGAAACACACGCACATTTCTAGTGTTTCGGGTTTTAGACTTGTTCTTCTATCGTCTAAAACCCTTCCGGATGCGCTGAAAGCTCGTTCGGAGGCGACGGAGGAAACTTGGATAGCAAGAATGTCTCGTGCCATTGCCGCCAAAGTTGGATGCTTCGAGCTTTGTTGTTTCCACCATGCAAGGAGGTCGAGGCTGTTTATCTCATCGTCGTCCATGCCTTTGGTGAAGTCGTAACTCAGGTACATCTGCAACTCCGAGACGTCGCTTTGCGTTCTCCTGATTGATGAATCACATGAAAACCTTGAAATCAAGTTAGTAGCTTGTGAAAATAAATGTTTGGCCTTCTTACTTACGTTTTTGGATGGTTGGGTAGGCCCTGAGCGAGGAACGGTGCCATATTTGGCTTCATAGACTCTATATAAAGCAAAAAACTGATCCTTCACATTAGTCTTATAGTTTTCTACATCATCGTCAAGAAACATGCATTGAAAGTAAATGTCAACTAACATAAATGTGTTTTCATACTTTTGCCTAGGATCTAATATGGAAGCAAAAATATAAATCAAAAGAATCTCACTATAATATTTACGCCACTTTTTTTCCATTGCTGGAAGATACTGATCATAATCACTTTGATGGCGATGATCAGCCAAAAGTTGGGCGAGTAAGCATGCATTAGAAAGAAAGTTTTGAGCACAAGGATTGTAAACAGTAGAAAAACAATACGTCATGTTATATAATAACTGTAAAAATTGCATATATCTTTCACAGTTATTCCAATCATCATCATACAAAGCATTTTGTGGAAATTTTTGGTTGTAAAATAATGTTAACGGGCCCTTGTACTCAATTGCCTTTGTTAACATGCCATAGGTGGAATTCCACCTAGTTGGGCAATCGGTTCTAATTTTTATTACCCTTATCTTTTGTTGTTTTAGAAAACTCTTCCATTCTTGGTATCTCATGTTAGAGCTATTAATAGACATAATAGCATCTCTGATTTTGCTGTAGTATGGGCCAATTGCCCGAACTCCATCCTGTACACATAAGTTAAGTACATGGCAAACACATCTAGTATGAAGAGCTTCACCGTCTAATAGTACATCGGTTAAGTTTTGTTTGATAAGATTAGTTGTGTATGTCATAGAGGTTGCATTATCAAAAGTCATAGACATCATTTTATCTCGAAGGTTGTATTCGTCTATTGCTTGCATTAAATGGTGAGCAATGTTAATGCCGGTGTGTGGGTATTCCAACATTTTGAAATGTATTATTCTTTTTTGTAACATCCATTGATCATCTACCCAATGGCAAGTCACACATAAATAGTGATATTTATAACCACTATCCCAAGAATCGGCTGTTAAAGATACTCTACAGTTAAGGTTACTCAATTCGGCTTGTAACCGGACTTTGTACTCTAGGAAATTTTTCATCGCGGCGGAACGAACGGTTTTCCTAGAGATTCTTTTATGTTGGGGTTGTAGTGCTTTGTTAATGTAGGTGTTGAATGCGTCACTTTCCGAGAAAAGAAAAGGTTGTTCGGCGTGTACTATCATTTTTCCTAGTTCATCCCTATCCCTCTCATAGTTGTATGTAAAGCCGTATGGATGGAATTGGGAAATTTTAGGCTGGGTTGGATCACTAGCTGGTTTTGCACAAGCTTTCATGTGTCTAGATAAGTGTCCCGTCCCGTTTTTGGTAACTGCCGTGAATACACTATTACATGTTTTACATTTTGCCCATTGTTCACCATCTTTACTTAGGACAAAATAACGTCATACCTCACTCCTTCGGTTTTTCAAAAGTAGCATCTCAGTTTCGGTTAACCATTCATGATGTGTGTGATGGTTAGTAGTGGGACTAGTGGGAGTGGCAGTAGAAGGGGTAGAACCGGAGGGAATTCGGGTACTTTCTTGGCTACCTTGGCTAGAACAATAGTTTTGTTGATCACCGATATAATTAGGTGGAAATTGGTATGGTGGTAGTGGAAATTGTTTTAGTGGTGGTGCTGGAAATCCCGACGTATTATATGGCTCATAGCCCGGGGGGAAGTAAATGGGGTCATTGGTTTGACTCGTAATTTGGGGGCTCGTTGTATTTGGTGGTTCCCTAGAACTACTACTACGGATAAGTCGGCCTTTCCCCCTAGACCTAGATGATGGGTTGTTCGATGCCATAATTAACAATTAATTTTTTTAATAAAAAGTGGTTAATAATAATAATAATTAATAACAACAATTTTAACAATAAAAATATCAATAATATTAATTAATAACAACAACTATAACAATAACAATAACAAAAAAAAAATAATAACAACAATTGTAACAATAATAATAATTAATAACAACAACAATAACAATTAACAACAATAATAATTAAACAAGATTATTCTAATAATAACAATAAAACAATAATAAATTTAAGATTAGTTTAGATCTTACAACCGTGCTTCAACGCTCCACTAATTACGATTACGAACTTTTTAATTTTTTTCCGATATTAGGAAAATAATTAGAGAATTTAAGAGAATAATTAGAGAATTTAAGAAAATAAGGATTATTAGAGATTTAGAGAATATAAGAGATAAGAAGAAGAGATTGTGATTTTGTGATTTGGGAATGAAATGGAGGTGAGTATTTATAGAATTTTTGGGGAGCAAATTGGCAAAAAACTAACCGTTTTTTAGCCTTTTTTTGGCTTATTAAGGAGCTAGAATAAACGGTAACATTACCGTTGGCCCGCGGGCCGGCACGGCGGGCCATGCCCGTGCTCGTGCCGGGCCTGGGAATTCTCAACCCTGTCCGTGGCACGGCCCGTGGCATGGGAGTTGAACTTCGTGCCGTGCCGTGCTTGAATTCGGGCCGTGCCGGGCGGCACGCGGGCCAACCCGGCCCGTGCCCAGGTTTTTGAAGTAATAGCCAAGTGCCATACATATACTATCGTACTTATATGTGTTTTCTATTATTTTGAAGTATCAAACTATGGTACCCTGGATCCATTTTAATTCTCACCTCATCATGTCTAAAATATGTACGACGTTTATGGCTAATTGTAAGGTTAAAATGAATGCAGGATATAGAATTGGCCAAAAAAATGGTTAAGCTAGATGGTACATTCAGTGAGGACTTAGCAAAGGATTCATTATTTTCGGAAGAAAGATTTGGAAGAGTGAAACGAGTATTTGTTATTTCTGAAGAGGATGAATTAGTGAAGACGGATTTTCAAAACTGGATTATTGAAAATAGTCCACCACATCAAGTGAAATTCATACCGAAAGCTGATCATATGGTAATGTTGTCAAAACCTCAAGAACTATGCCTTTGTTTGCTAGAGATCGCTGATATATTGAGCAACAACAACACATTTCAAGTACATAGTTCGATTATATCCCAGCCTGCACCCATAGGGTTTTCAAGCAATTATAATTTACATTTATGTGATTATTTATAAATGATTGTAATTGTGGGTTGATCTATTGGAAATAAAAGGCATGTTTAAGCTGTTATGTAATCTTGGGGTAAAAGTCTTAATGAAATAGCAGATTTTGATTAAGAACAAGCAGCGATTATCAAACTGCACATGTCGGGTGTTTGACATGCTCATACAGTCGAGAAAAGCCTATTGGTGTACCTTGGATTCTAGGAACAATCGAGTTTACTCCGTATGATGTCTTAACACCAGCCGCGATAGACTTTATACCATACTGCCAGCCGAAAAAGGTCTTTGGTTGTATGATAAGCTTAATAAACGTTGTTGTTGTTTAAGATACTTTCAGACGCGTTAAAATCGCATTTGTGGGCTAGCTATAGCCTGTAGGCTTGTGGTTAATCAACTGTTCAGCGTAATCAATTCATATTACTATATCAAATCCTTTATCCCCCGTTTAAATACAAAAAATAGTAAAATATAAACATAAACGATTTCTCAATTTAAGCTAACGTTCTACTGCGACTTGAAAGACGTGATGTTATGTGGACTTGTGCGGCTTGATTGTAAAGGCCAAAATTGGTGGAACCCTTGTGTTTCCTCATACACAGTAATTTTTTATGTGGACACAGCAAAATCAGAAATCGAAATATGTAATTAATCAATCCATCAAACGTTAAACTTAGTATCAAGGATTTATTAGTAAAAATAGATTACAGAATATATTTATTTCGGTGTTGTTATTAATGGAGGCTAAAAATGAGGAGAAACAACACTTCGTTTTAGTTCATGGGTGTTGTCAGGGAGCATGGTGCTGGTACAAGCTCATACCCCTGCTTGAAAATGCAGGGCACAGAGCGATATGGCAGCTTCTGGCGCCAACACGAAACAAATTGAAGACGTTCATACCTTTGAGGAGTACAACAAGCCTTTGTTAGATTTTATGGCATCGTTGTCTGTCGATGAGAAGGTCATTCTTGTTGGCCTGTTGGGCATAGCCTTGGAGGAATGAACATTGCCTTTGGCCTTTGCTATGGAAAGTTTTTCTCAAAAGATATCAGCTGCTGTTTTTAACAAAGCTTTCACTTTTTTTTTATACATCCAAATCATTGAAAACTCTACCTTCATGTATAATTGCAATTAAAATTTCAACAGAATTAAATACAAGTATATAGATTGAATTGATATTTTTAAAATTTTCAATTGTAAAAACTACAAACTAAAATGTAGAAATATATACTAAGTTACTAACATTATTAATTCAAACTAGCATAATACTTACGTTTCCCTCAAATTTCATCCTTATGAATAAGTTGCAAACTAGATCTACAAATTAATAAGAACACTTTGTGAAGGAATCTTGTAGATTTGAACCAATACAAGCATAGCTAGTTAGCTACACATTAGAACCAAATTTGAGGTCTTCAAGATGATAGGAGATGAGAGAGATTAATTGCTGAGATTAAAAAATAATGTTAGGGTTAACAATGGTGGATTTTTAAGAGAAGAGAAACTTTGAGGAGAGAGAAATAGCATACGAGAAGAGAGTTAGAGTAGCAGAGAAATGAAAGTGGCGGAAGAATCTAGAAAAAGGGTTTTGGGCTTTTGCCTCTTTAAATGACCCACATAAAACTTGCACTATAAAACCTACCCCGTATTATTGTTCCATATATAGCGGGTCGGACTCGGACTCGGGTTGAGTCCATCGGACCTCAAGCAAGATCCGAGTCTGATCCGTCTCCATTCGGATTCAGACTTTTTAAATCGGATTCGGATTTGGATCGGACTTTTTTCTTCGGATCGGATCGGGCTTGGATCAAATTCGGATTGAATTGCCATCCCCAACCAAACCCCTTCTCCATTTCCGTTTTCCAGAAGAATACACATCAATCGAATATGAGTTCTCCACAATCTGATAATGTTCGTGGGGTTGGGGGGTCGCGTTCCTTTTTGCTTTTTTTTAAAGCGGCCGCAGCCTCCCGTGCGAGGCATTTCTGCTTCGGAGACCTAGTAGGATCAAACCCTAAACTAAACCTCAAAAACGAACAATCACCCTCCTCAATTCCTTCAATAGGCAAACTTTCTAATTCAAAGTCAGATTACAAACAAAATCAAGAACCCCCAAAGAACAAAGGCAGAGACCATTACAAGACTGAATATCGAATATGAAAAGGCGGAAAGTTAAGGAGAGAGAAAAAAGGGTGGATGACGATGTTGAGAACTGAAAGAGATGAAGTGGCTTCGGGATTGGCGGTTTTGGGGGAAGCGGTGCTGGGAAGATTAGCTAACTGGTGCAGGGGACGAAGGGAGTAAGTTATGGCCGGCGCGTGGCTGGGAAGAGGGTTTTGGCCGGCGCGATGGTGGTGGGGAAGGTGGTTGTTCGTGAGTAGAGGCTGAGATTTTTTTTTTAAGTTTTTCTTTTTCAATTTTTGTAAGTTTTTCTTTTTTATATAAATTTTATTAACTAATCACATGGTGATGGTGACACGTGTCACTTTACATATTATAACAAGTTGGTTACCGGTTAGGGACCATAGAAAGCGAATACACCCAAAAGTTCAGATTATTTAATAATAATCCAAAGTTGAGATTATTTAAAGCGAATACGTAAAAGTTGGGATTATTTTTAGCAATTTTTTTTTTAAAAAAAAAAACTATATACTTCCTCTGTTCTTTATTACTTGACCTGTATTCCTTTTTGAGAAGTTTCTTTTTACTTGACCTGTTTCCTTATTTTGGCAACTTTAATACTACACTTTTACTTATTTACCCTCACCTTTTCAACATCATTAACCCACCATATTTGTAACACCCCCAAAACTCGAATCTTTTAGAACAATAAGAGTAACCCTTTTAACTTTCAAAACCCAACCATCGAACTTTGAAAGTGTTAGTGCTACAGTTATTTTCCGTAGAAAATAAATGCAAAGCAAAAACGAAATAATAATTAATAAACTAAGTGGTCTAATTGGTGGCAAAATAAATTAGTCATTACATCAAAACTGCAATTATTTTTAAACCAATAGTTGAAAGAAAACAATTAAGTCCGGAAAAATGTCTTAGCTATGTGATTATTCTAACGTTTCCTCACACGTAACCGAGTACCCTCTTACCAACCTGCAAAATAAATCAGAAACAAGAAAAGAGAGAAAACTCCTAAAAAACAGATAAACTGAGTACTTCCAACTCCATCCCGTAAAATAAATAATTTTAGTTCGAAAACATATTATATAGTCTCATAAACATAATAATAATCAACCAAGTTCAAATTGTCACTTAACATATTATTACGCTATTTAAGAAAGGGAAAGAGAACGTCGGTATGCAGGGACTAGTCCTTGTCACCATCTACTATACGGGGGTCACGCGTAACCCCAATGGCCATAAAATAAACAGAATGTCCCTAGTGTGCACACCCCTCACTAATACCCAGTGATTAGGAAGGAAGACTAACAACAATATACAATAATTTAAACCTACTAGTAGCAACCATAACCACTAGTGGGCAACCTGTTCTTCACCCTTTCGGGTTTCATTTCCCTTCTTAACTTAAATTTCACTGTACGTTTTATTAGATTACATTGTCCGATCACGTTGCACACAAGTATTGCACAAATCAATTTAATCCCAAGTAACAATATTTCAATTTCAATATTATCAGATTATAGTCATCCTACCTGACATAGAGCTATCGATCCCATATAATTACATAAGCACGTATTTGGCACATAATATTTCAAAACAATTTCCTAAAGGGATTCTAAAGATGATGGACATTGAAAATTACCTTGATCGTGTGTAAAACTCAAGGTAATTAACCTCCGAAACGTTCACCTAGTAGCCTCCGTCTGCAAATAAACCGATGATAAACTAAGTTAGTAATACTATACACGCCTCCAACTTGCCTACATATAGATATATGAAAGAAATCATATTCTTTAAAGAAAACAAACACTACTAGAAACACATGCAAATGACGACGAAATTTTTCCATCGGAAACACCCTAAATTCCGTCGGAAATGGGGTTTCCGACGGAATTTCCGTTGTAACGGGTCGTCGGAATACATGTTGTAGGAAAACCAGCTTTTCCAACGGAATTTCCGTCGGAAACACTATTGATATGTCCATTTTATATAGTGTTTTACCCCCATCCCTTGGTCATTATTAGTAGTGTTTTTGGCTCTTTCGAGCCACTTTTATTACTAATTTGTGTTTTCTAGTGTTTTCGTAGTTTTAGTTGTATCTTAAAGGAAATTGCACTCTTGGAGCATTTTCCCGGGCTTTATGGATCAACTACGGAAGCTAGAAGGACACGACCACTTTTGAAGCCCAGGATCGGTGAGAGCCGATGATTAAGGGCTCGGTAATTGGGATCCCGAGGTATTTGGACCGAGTATTCAAGACCCGAAGAGGAAATTCGGATTGGGCCGAGGAATCAAGCCCAATCGAAGTCCGAGCCTCAAATTGAAGCAAGGGCCCGATCGCGCAACCTCTAGCACGATCGGGCGCGGCGCTGCTGGTGCTGTGCGTGGCTCATAGCGCGCCCGATCGGGCGCGGCGCTGCTGGTGCTGTGCGTGGCTCATAGCGCGCCCGATCGTGCGAGCGTCTAGCACGATCGGGCGATGTTGCGGAGGAGGAACGCGAAGAAAAAGGCGGGCCCAATCAGGCGCGTGTTTTTATATAGCCTGATTAGTTTAGTTTTAATTTTGTTTTAGGAAACGTTTATATACGAGTTTAGTACGGATTTTAGATTACCTTCTTTCCGAGACTTTCTCTCTCTACTTAGGATTTTTCTCTCTCTTAACTCTTCTCTCAACTCTTGTTCTTGATTATTTCCATTAATACAGATTAGTTTGGTAATGATTTCTCTTCTCTTAATCTTAGTTATTTACTTTACTCCTTCCATCATGACTTGTTTTATTGCTTTGATTAGTTCAGTTTTTAATATGTGTGAGTAGTTCTATTTCTAGGGTTTATGGGGATCCTTAAATAATATGAAGGGGTAATTTATTGTTGTTAATTATCAATGCTAGGTTAATTTCCTATTGATTGATTCAATGCTCTGTGACTAGATTAAGCCTATCTTTTATGCATGAGTTTGACAATATTGGTTCGAGATTCGACAGATGAGAATTGATGTTTAGGTCTAGTTTCAATAGACAGATTAATTTATAAATGGTTAAGTCGAGATTAATACCGGTAGATTAATTATGTGATTGTAATACGTAGCGAAAGCCCTTTACAATCTGGTTAATTGATGCATTGATGATTGACTATTATTGATTATTGGTATTGCATGATAATTTCTTATTGAATTGTTTTAACGCTTTACAATTATGGCTTGTAAAAGTATAGCAATATTGAATTGATGAATCGAGCATATGCTAATTTGATATTAAAAGCTATTTTCAATAAGGACTTAGATCTAGTAAATTGCGAGAGCCTGTTAGATCTATGTTGATTAATAAATTGCGAGAGCCTGTTAATCATGTTATTTATGCAATGTCAATGATTGATTACTATGTTTTACCCTGGAGTATTATTTATTGGTGAACCTATGCCCTAGATCCTTTTATATATTGTTTTCTCCCTATTCTCAATCTTAGTAGTTTAGTTTCTTATTCGAATATAAATATTGGTTACTTAGATAATTTAGATTATAATAATTAATTAAGAGTAAAAAGACTTGTTTCCCTGTGGAGATCGACCCTACTTCTCTATCTACTTTAGTTAGAGGACTTAGGAATTATTTTTGATTAGGGGATACGACTTTGCCCTGTCTACTATTCCGACGGAATTTAATCTGTCTGCAGGGATTTTCAGGCCAGAGAATATAATCCGTCGGAATTTTTCGACGGAAATTCCGTCGGAAAAATCTTTCAAAAAAACAAAAAAAAGCCACCCACCACCCCAGACCACCACCCCACACCACCAGTCCCCCCCATCCAGACCCAACCACAACCACACACCACCACCCCACACCACCAGTCTTCCCCCCATCCGGACCCAACCACAACCACACACCGCCACCCCACACCACCAGTCTTCCCCCCCCTCCGGACCCAACCACAACCACACACCGCCACCCCACACCACCAGTCTTCCCCCCCCTCCGGACCCAACCACAACCACACACCACCACCGACCCTATCCCACCACCATACACCACCACCGACACCACCTTAACCAAAAATTAGCCCAAAAAAAACATAAAATACCCCCAAAAAACCGTAAATTAACCCAAAAAAAAATTACGCGACTAAAGCAAGAAATAACACACAAAACCAGTAGATCTACATATTTAATCAAAATTTCATAAAATAAAACGATGTTTAATCAAAAAAAATTAAATCAAATAGATAAATATACAATTATCTATTTAAATATACAATTTATCATTACAATAACATATAAAATTAACTAGATCTACGAATCTATCCTAAATTAAAACAAGATCTACCAAAAAAGACGGTGGTTGTTGGGTTTGATATTGATGCGGTCCGGTTGTTGGTGTTGCGAATCTGTTGCGATTGATGTTGGTGGTGGTGTGTTGTTGCGGTTGTTGTTGTCGGTCGGTGTTGTATCGTTGTTGTTGTCGGTGTTTGATGTAGGTGAAGAGAAAAGAAACGAAGGAGAGAGAAAGGGCGGTGAAGAGAAGAAGAAAGGAAAGAGAAGGAGAAGAGAAGAGAAGAGAAGAGGGGAGAACGAAGGAGAAGAGGGAAGGAGAAGAAGGAGAACGGAGGACTGAGAAAGGGAGAACGAAGGAGGGGAGAGAGAGAAGAAGAGAGCAGAAACTTTAGAAAGAGAAAGAGAGGCGGAAATAACAAAAGGGGAAGGGGATGCTTTAGGGTTTGGGAATTTAATTATAATTTTTTAAATTATTTTCCGACGGAAAATTCCGTCAGAAATTGTAAATTCCGACGGATAATTTCGTCGGAATTTTCCAACGGACTATAATTCCGTCGGAACTTTCCGATGGACTATAATTCCGTCGAAAATTGTAAATTCCGACGAAAAAATCCGTCATTTACAATTTCCGACGGATTTACGATGGAAATATTGAATTCGTCGAAAATTTTCGACGGAATTTATATTCGTCGGAAATCCGTCGGAAATTTCACTTTTTGCGACGGAAATTCGGGTCCATCGGAACCAGTCCGTCGTAATTTGCTTGTCGTAATTTGCTTGTTTTCTTGTAGTGAAAACTAAAAGAACACGCTATCACCCTATATGATACTCTGCTACCCTTAATTCACAAGGATAACACTTGTTTTCCACCTCCTTTTATTTAATCTCTACAAAGTATAATAACATGCTTGGTTTAATGGCGACAAGATGAATTATCAAATCTTGCGGGAAGTTTGTGTGGGTCGAGAGTTCCATGATCAATACTCATTAATGGGCATTATAATTTGTTGAGTTTGGCATAATTTCAAGAGGGACGATGTGTTAACGCAGCAGTGGTGATGGTGATGATATTTGACGGTATGAGGGGTTCATCAACGGAGTTACGGTTTTAGCAATGAAAGGTATCAAGGATTACTAGTCGTAAGATTGAAACTTAATTGACTAGTTAAAGTCGTCAAAATAAAGAAGAGATTATGAGTTCTCTTACCTATTAATTTGGCTTACCAATGTGTGGAGTAGAGCTGTTCATGGGCAGGACGACTCGCTAAGCCCGCCCAACCCGGCCCGCAAAAAAGGCGGGCTTGGACAACCTTTTTGAAAAAATGGATATTTGGGCGGGCTAAGCCCGGCCCATTAATGTAAATGGGCGGGTATGGACAAGAAAATATGTGTCGTCCCGCCCGGCCCGTTAATGTAAATGGGCGGGTATGGACAAGAAAATATGTACCGTGGGCTAGCCCGCCCGGCCCGTTTATAATAATAATAATACTATTTTATTAATAATTTTTATTTAGCTAGTGTTATATTTAAAAATAATACTTTGTGTATTTAAGAAAATAAAATAATCAATACAGAGAGACTATAATGAACTATAAGCTTTTATTGGTTATAATTATTTATTTTAATTTTATATTATGACATATTTTGTGTGTTTTTAATTTCTATTATCATTATTTGTGAATAAAATTTTTTAAGACAACTCTACCAAAATAATTTTAGCACCTGTAAATAATAAATATATTAATTAGTGTTATAAAAAAAATAAAAGGAAATTTTGTGTAGAACTACTTTAAAGATAGGGTCATTTGTGAACAACTACCCATTTTTTTTTATTTGTTTAGAACTACCCGCAAGTTTGGAAAATTTTAGGTAGTACTACCCACTAACGTTTTTCGTCCAATTAAACCGTTATTTTGGCCCAATTTTTCACTTTTTTCAATTACAATGACCAATTAATGCTAAAATAAGCAAAAACCCCAATTCAATTAAACCCCCAAACCTTATAAATCAAAATCCCCAAAGAATACTTAACTCATGAACCTTAAAATGAATTCTAATTAAAACCCTAATTAGGTTAATTAAGGTAAATTAAACCTTTATACAAATTGGGAGAGCTAATTGGGTGGCAAAACTTAAAAAAGTGGGCTCCGATGACGTCTTCATTGAACGGAAAATGTTAATGGGTAGTGCTACCTAAACGTTTTCAAACTTGTGGGTAATTCTAAACAAATAAAAAAAAATGGGTAGTTGTTCACAAATGACCCTATCTTTAGGGTAGTTCTACACAAAATTTTCAAAATAAAACAAAAATTTAAGGCCTGTTAGCCCGCAGGCAAACCCGGCCCGTTTAGTAAGCGGGCAAGGACAAAGTATCAAGCCCGCATAAAAGGGTTCGAGTTTGATACATGAAGCCCGTTGGACAAAAAAATAAGCATAAACTCAGCCCGCTACCCGCCCAAGCCCGCAAATGATCACCTCTCCTTTGGTACCTCAAAGATAAGTTTGGTTTGGTGGTTGAGCTTGTTTTGTGAGGGTTTTTTTGCTCTCTTGGTCTTAGGTTCAAACCCTCATAAAGTCATTAATACACTTTATTGTTTTTAGAAATTTAATTATATGGAATATATTGTAATAATTTGACAAGTCATAGAGAGTTGCATTTATGTCTTACAAATGTAATTCAAGTCCCTCCATATCTATTGTGAATTTGTTTAAGGACTAATTATTTGACTTTATGATAATGTAATTTATTTGTATATATGCATTAGTTAGTGATTACACAACCTAGGATCGAGAGTTACAAATTAACGAAAATTTAGTTCTTTTATTAAAAAAAATTTTGTAAGAAAAATTTGTCTAAAAGGGATATATATATATATATATATATATATATATATATATATATATATATATGTTCACTAGTTTGTCGGAAAGGATCTTATATGTTTAAAGTGGTCTAAAAGGACCTTAAAAGTTTATTTTGCTGTTTGGAGAAACCTTGAGACCGAAATCTAACAATAATTAGTTTTTTTCTCCGACGTTGACCTCTCACGTGACCTTAAAAAATGAGCCCCTTTTTTTTCCACGATTTCCCTTCAATTCCTCATTTTCTCATTTTTTTTTTTCCTTTTGAAGAGGACATATCGAATTTTAGGTACATCATAATCCTTTATATATATATATATATGTATATATATATATATGTATATGTATATAGACAATGCTTTTCAAAAACCATAAAGTTCACCCACCTACAATAGGTGGATAGCATTTTAAAAAAAAAGTTCGAGGTTGAGACAATTTAGGATCTTCCATTCTTTGCAATGGTAGCTTAATTGTTATAATTTCATGCATGCAATTTGACAGGTTTGGAAAGTGGGGCGGCAACAGTGAATCAAACATAACTTGCTTCATAAAATCTCCTCATTGCTAAATTTGTAATCTTCTTTACTTCTTAACAAAGTTCTCTACCATTACTTAAACCCCTTCATTCCACAATTCATAATCACCCCACAATTTACAAACACCAATTTTATCAGCAAATTAAACCCAAAAAAATTAATTAAAGTATTAATTTAGCACCAAAAAAAAAAAAAAATGGGGCACAAACATGGTCATGATTGGGGTCCAGTGTTCATTGCAACAATATTGTTTGTTCTTCTTTCACCAGGGTTGTTGTTCCAAGTGCCAGGTGGCAAAAGGTGCATTGAGTTTGGGAGCTTCCGTACTGGTGGGGCAGCTATTTTGATCCATGCTCTTCTATATTTTGGCCTTATTTGTATCTTCTTGATTGCCCTTGGAATTCACATGTATTGGGGTTAATTGATCAACATTGAAGCCATTCAACCCATATTGTTCCTATCTTTATTTTGCTTTCTGTTTTGGGAGGTCGGTCGAGTGATCTTGTTGTGTTGATTTCTATTTTAAATCAAAAAAACCGCTCTTTTTACATGTTATTATAGTATGTTGGAAAAATATACGAGATTTTAAGAGGATGTAATAGAGTTGTGGTTTAGAGATGACACTGAGTACATGTGTCTCTTTTGTTATTGATCGGGTTAATTAAAGGACTACTTGTCATTGGTTTCTAGTTATTTTAAATTTGTACACGTTTATTATAGGCTTTTTATTATGTCAATTTATAGTCATTATAAATTTTGTTGGCTTTAATTTCCCTCTCATAGCCAAGTACCCAATGGTAGAAAAGGCCCACGAATTTGAACTATTACTCGAAGATATGACCTGCTAGGCTGCTACCAATGCATATTTTAATGAAATGGATAACAAAGGCGATTAATCAAACCTCAAGAATTAAATGCATATTAAACTTGATGATAAATGCTTTGATGCTACAACTATTAGTTTAAACTCATTGGGTTAGATTATGTACATATATAATTACCAATCAAATTTTGAGAGTCCATATGATAATGATAACATGAAGTATTATCAATCAGCTTAATCTATTAAAAGGTGTCTTTAAACGTCTAATCATTATTTAACTCTCATCATTAAGTTTTAGCAGTATAATTTCTGAACATAAACTAAACTATATGGATATTGCCATTTAGATAAAAATACAGGACTCCAAATGCATATGGTATTGTATTCGCTTTCAAAATACTTCGTACATCCTTAGTCATATATATTGATTGTGCAATTACAATCAACACTAAGAATCAAGATTGGCCTAATGATTGGAGGCCCTCCTTCCACCCCTCCTATAAGAGGGGTTCGATTCTCACCCCAAACAAGTTGGATCCCTTATTTTTTCCCAACTTACAAGGAAATTTTCCTTAAAAAAAAAAATACAACCAACACCAAGAAAACCAATTTTCTTATAGATATTTTACTAGTGCATTTACTTTTTTGACAAAGTGCCTAATGGGTCTATATTACTCGTATTTCCTATCTTTCAGGCTACAAATTTAACACTATTTTTTTATACAACTTTCGAATAATATACAAAGCATTATAAATTACAAATAGGTGAGGACAAATTTAAATTTGCGATCCATATATAATTTCTACATATATTTTCTCTACAATTATACGGAGTACTTTAGTACCCAGCCTTTCTATAGTTTCAATATCTCCCTCTCAAAGGTCTTGAAGACTTATTACTAACAAACAAACAAAAGACAAATATATATATATATATATATATATATATATATATATATATATATATATATATATATATATATATATATATATATATATATATATAAACAAAGTTACATTATTGAACAATTCTCTGTATACCATAATAGCAACGTTGTAATTAACAATATGGAATCTATTAAAGACTTGATGACTAAGACATCTTTAATTGGTCACATTCCTTTCTTTGCTACCACATATGCTAAGCATGCCAAACACGCTAGTTACTAGCAACTACTAATATAAAAACACTAGAGAAGTTTAATTTGGTAACTCTAGTACGTACATTCCTAGAGCAAGCTAAGAGAGAGTAAGTACATTGTGTGATCAGAATGGCGGATTGGGGGCCGGTTGTGATCGCGTTGGTGCTATTCGTGTTGCTCTCGCCGGGGTTGCTATGTCAAATTCCGGGGAAGGGAAGGATGGTTGAGTTTGCTAACTTGCAAACAAGCGGCGTTTCCATACTTATTCATACCATAATCTACTTTGGCCTCATTACTATCTTCCTTATTGCTATTGGTGTTCATATCTACACTGGCTAGTTATATAAAGTCTTCAGCTTAAATAATTATAATATCTTGTTACTATTATATTGTTTACATTTTTGGGTGTTCTAATTGTAAGTTTGGTTGTTTTGAGTGTGCAGTGCTTATTTATCAATACAAGTATGTATCATGCACTATTGCACGTGACAACTACATACAATATTTATCAAGAGTAATTAGCTAAATTATACGATGTACATGTTTTGCCAATGTATGTGATCATTGTTAATGTCAGTTATTCAATTCTTTTTTCAAGATTATTATGATGATGATAATTTTTCATAGTCTCATTATGTGAAGTAGAAATGTACAATGCTATTTCAAGGTCTCAAGGTTGCCATCTTTATTATACAGTTATACCACGTACAAAAATTATACTAGTAATATTACCGAGAAATTGAGAAAATATTGTACAAGTTTATCATAGGGATAATAATGTATTTTCAAGTGAGCTATCAAGGGTTATTTAGTAAACTTACTCCCTCGATTTAACCAACGTTAAAGCCTACTTTCTCTCTCCTTCATTCTCATTTTCTTCCTTCCTCTACTCATTGTTAACAGCAGATTTTTTATTTTTTATTTTTTATTATTATTATTTTTTTTTTGTTAACTTGGTAAAAGCTTGGAAGAATCTAACAAGGTGATCAGCTATTTTAGTATCAATTTTAATTTCACGAATGACCGTCATTCTTTCATATTCGGGCATTGGTATTTTGGTAGTGACAAAAATAGAAAACACAATAATTATTCAAAACCAAGCCAAGCTTGGTCTAGTGGAGAGAAGAATACCTTTTAATTATGAGGTTGGGGGTTTAATTCCCACTAGTGATAATTTAGGGGAGTGAGATTCCCTTATCTTCCCCCACTCTTCCAAATTGTCTAGCCCGCTAACCCGGGTCGGAAAAGGTTCCGACTTGATAGGGCCTTTCTTCTTACCAATCAAATATATATATATATAATAGTATTTCTATAATTGTATTTCTCTAAGTCCTACCTACTAATTTTTTATTTATTTTTGACCTTGACCGTATCTCAACCCTCACGGTTTTTTTGATCTGATATATACACGTCTGATACTTTAAGAGTGAAGGGAAAGGGTCAGTGGGAAACTGGGAATTGAACCTCCAACCTCAAGGTTGGAAGGTGACAATCTTACCACTAGACCAAACTTAGCTTGGTGGGTCTTGCCAACTAATAGACATTAGACATGGGAATCATGCATGGCAATAATTGTCCCTTGTTTGCAGCAATGTAATCGTATCGTATTTATTCGTATCAATATCCATGTACAGAGATCTAAATTTAAGCCTCTGATAAGCTGTGCACTGTGATCACAGAGACAGGCCAACAATGTCAGGCAGACGAGCTCTGCTAATACAACAACGATTATTACATGATCCGCTTGAATAAAATTAGAGTTGATCATGACCCGAGCCAAGACCAAAAACCAGGCCTTATCACCCTGAAGCATCAGGCTGAAATGGGCAGTGCAGCCTGGCCTGGATCAGACCGGCTATACAAAGATCACCTCTAATATCACGGCAATAATGACAGCTATGACCCAGTATAAAACACGGTTTTATTTAAATATGCGTACACATTTCATTAAGTTACAAAATATTTTAGTAGCTTGCTTTCATTGCATTCTTTAATTCAGTAACCGTGTTCTCTCATTTTTCTTAAGAAAATAGGAAATAAGATCCGGAAGCCATATACAGATATAACAATGCCCCATGGCTTCAAATTTACACATTTGGGATCATCATAGAGAGCAGCATTGTCATGATATGAAAATAATAATTTCAACACAAAAGAACCTTCATGTTCTCTACATTACTATAATATCCACTGTAGTAGGCAACTGTCATAACCTAAAAACAAATTTGTCCCCAACCCCCCCCCCCCCCCCCCCCCCCACCAAAACAGCTGAATGAAGAAGCCACATATCCATAAGTTCTATAACAATCTTTAAAGCCAGTTACCCACAGACCACATTCCAATAGCTTTTCGGCTCATAGCAATTCCTTTGTATATCAAAAGAGAAGCCAAGGATTACGAATGCCCACCTTCTCTATAGTTGCAATAGTGCCTCTGTGCCTCCGCAATATCCTAGCCATCTTTACATGAATTTCCAGGCTGCATTAATACAGATTACAGGGAACAAATGTTATTTACTTTTTTTTCCCAATATTATTGTAGATGTCAAGGAAACTCAAAAATGACAATACTATTAGTCAACATCAACAAATAAATACAGCATGAATCCACAAATTACATATAAATCACTGCTTCATACTGTTGCTCGACATTAAAACAAGGAACAGAACTCAACCAACACAATCATAGTCAATTATTGATTACTTTATATGTTTAATCAATATTGGGGTTGTTAGAAGTTAAGCTTCAATTAATTGCACATTATGCATGACAAAGGGATGTATTATGACACATTTGGATAAAGTTTGTGACGTTGTGAGATCTGCATCACATATCATTGAATGACTAATATTTTTCCATTTTTTGCATTCTAAAAAGCAAACTTCTAAACGCTTGAGAATATGATATCTGTGTGACAGCTCGTGAGATCTTCAGCATTAATCATCAGTTACAAGGATAATCAAATATATATACTCTAAAAGATAATCTAAAATCAACAATCAAATAGCAATCTAGAAAAAATTAACATGATATTAATAAAAAAACCATAACTGTGACTACATTTGATGAAGACTAACTAGCATATTAGTTCATCAGCACATTTACCAGGAGTAAGGACTTCATCAAACGAATACACTACTAGAACAATATAGCACCAAAGCTTTGCTAAATAGGCACATTGCCCCACAAACCAGAAGATTAAAAACAGAGGTTAGTGTTGTCTTATAGTGGTGTCCTAAACCACCAACATTAAGGGAAAGTTTATTAAGCAATAATAAGACCTTGTTAACCTGGGAATGTAACTATATGTAGAATAATTAACCTCAAGGATACAAGGTCAGACCCGTAAAGTCGTAAACCCTTCATTCAAAAACTAAGGTCATGCATTACATTATCTAAAATTGTAGCATAAGATCAAAATGAGCAAAATTTCTAGATTCCCACAAGAAAAAAAAAGGCATGTGGTTAAATGAACTCTGGAATCCGGATGATGACAATTACCAACTAATTAATTCATGGTTGTTCAGAGGATAATGACGGGAAACAGGACAAGGCTTTTGATTAAATAATTCTACACACTTGTCACAGTTTGCCAGTCAAGAAAGATACCAACAAGCAACTACATGTATTCAACCTCCAAGGAATAAACTTGTATTTTATGTTACATAAGAATTACTAGAGACCAGTTCAAATTCTTAATGACTGAATTACTCATTATAAAAATATATTAGAACAATAAAGTATAGTACATGCCCATGATTCACCCTTAAACATATCCCTGTTTATCAAGCACATGAAACATGCTAATACAAAGTCAAAATGCCTTTATTTTCACCACCATAAGCAAGAACACACGTGTTTACCGTCACACAAAAGGACTACCAATCAGGCAATCACATTCAACCAACGAAATGCAATTCATATACACACAAATTCAACCATTTTCGAATCATAACCATTCTCAAATCCAACCAACTCTAGAATAATATGTAAGCAATAAATTTCCAACATAACAAAGTCTCATCAAAGGTCCAAAACTTAGCCCAACTTAGCCTAATACTCTAAATTAATCGTAATGCAGTGAAATATAAATCCTGCCAATGCCAAGGTCTCACCAATGATCCAAAATATAACCCATCATAGGTTCGTATCCTAACACCCAAAACTAGACAAAACGACACCGGATAATGATATATGTAGCGCTAAAGGCCAAAAATTATAAGAAGTTAAAAATAAGAACACTCCACATTAAAAAAAAATACAGATCCAATGAGTGGTTGTGTCATAAATTCCTAAACTAAACACCAATTACGAGATATATTTAATGCCATTATTTAAACTTAATAACCCCCTAATCATTAAAAATTATTACTCGTATTACAAATATAATTACTCCGTATTATAATTATTGCAGTCAAAATCATAAATTTCCTGTACAAACATAAACAAGACCAAGAAATACAACAATTACAGCCAGCAAAATTAAATTATGAAGTACCAAAAAAAACAATTAATCATGATTAAATTAATTATGCAAATCAATACTATATGATGATAAGAAAAATATACCAGGAATATCTTTCCGAGGGGAAGACGGAGAAGAAGGCGGAGCAGAGGTGGCGTAACAGAGAAAAGTCCGGCCCAAAACCGAAATACTGGTAACCAAACCCACAAAATAGAAGACCATAACAAGCCCAATAACCCAAGGTAACAACATGAAACCAATGAAGAAGGTGACCGATCCACAGAGCATCAAAGCCAGAGAAATCCCCAACATCAACGACGCGAAGCCCGCCGGCGTTATCTGCGGAGGAACCCTAACCGCCGGCGCCGACGACGACGACGACGGCGGAGGAGAGTAGAGATTATGGTCGGAGAAATTGAGCGATGACGGTGATGGTGGGTAGCGTAAGATGTTGAGTATAAGTGAAGATAATTCGTACAAAACCCTAGATTGAGGTTGTTGTTGTTGATGATGATGATGATGGTGTTGATGATTTTGTCTTCTCATCATATTGAAAATTCAAAAAAAAATTAAGGAAGAAAAACCCAAAATTGGGATTGAATATAATTTTAGAAAAAAAATAAATAAATAAAAAATAAAAACCCTAGATATATTGGGGGGAAAAATTGCTAAAATCGAGGTAATTGGATAATGGAGAAGTTTGAGGGAAAATCGGTATTACAGGTGGAGAGGTGGGGTTAGGGAGAAAAAAAAGGGGGAGTTTTTGAGGAGAGAGAAAATATGTTGTTAGAGAGAGAAAGTTTTGGGGGAAGCTTATCTGGTAATGACGAAGAGGAGGGAAAAGGGAACAAGGAAGAAGAAAGGAGGTGCTGCTGTGTTAAGAAGGACCTAAGGTGGGGGCTAAAAGGGAAAAAGTGATGTTGAATTTTATATTCAATTATTAATCAAAATAAAACGAAGTAATTATACATCATCTAGTCCATGTTGATACTTATAGGAATTTGACTTGTTACATCCAAAGGATGAAAGACATTGTTTTGTTCATCTTATTTTAAATTTATTTTTAAATTACTACCTTCGTTTTTGAAAGAACGATTCATTTGGTACTTTCTCTATCCCTAAATTACATTACTCTTTTTAGCATTTATTCCTCATATAATAGAGAGAAAGAGGAATGTAATTTAGGGACGGAGGGAATATAATTTTAGTTTAAAAAAAGAATGATCCATTTGCATTAAAATCTCCGCCAATTTGCAATAATATTTGAGCAAAATTAGGTTCCCCATATAAAATTTTGTTTCTCTATGTACTTTTATTACTTTCTCTCCCTGCTTTTTACAAACCCCTTATAAATTTATCTTTCCAATATGCTTTTACTTCTTTTTATTTAATTTTCTTAATACCCGCGAAATCAACCCAAATGGGTCGTTCTTTCGGGGACGGAGAAAGTAATAAATATGGATTATAAATTAATTTAAGAAAAATTTATAGAATCAAATTACTAAAAAAAAAATTATAAAAAAATGAAAATAAGTGTACGTTAATTTATTGTAAGACGTGTTAATATTATTTTTTGAGAAAACGTGTTAATAGTACGGAGTATATTAAAAGTATTTAAAATTATAATAAAATTAACGTATACCCATTTTATACAAGACTTATAGCAATAATTATACTATATTGAGTACTTTGTATAAAATACTGCATAAAGCCGCGAGGTAATTAAAAATAGCGTATAAGGGCTTATTTTATTCACTTATTTCAAGTGTAATAAATTCATATTAATCATATAAGTTCAGTTCAGGAAAAACAAGTTTTTATTAGGGGTGAGCAAAGACCCAGGGTACCCGGTACCGGACCCGGAACCGGTTAGGATCCGCCGGGTCCGGACCCGGAACTGGTCCCACCGGTTCCGGGACCGGGTCCAAAATGTCGGACCCGGTTGTAACCGGTTCCGGGACCGGGTCCTAAAATTTCGGACCCGGTACCCACTGGGTACCCGGTTTAAAAAATATAAAAGCCTAAAAAACCTAATACTTCAACTATTCAGCATTTCAGCAACGCCTCTTGCTCTTCTCCTCTCACCTTTTCTCTTATCCTTTCTGATTCTCAGTATCCCCTCTTCCTCTCTAATTCTCAATCTCCCCTCTTCCTCTCTGATTCTCAATCTCACCCTTTCTTTCTGGTTCTCAACGACTCCTCTTCCTCTCCTCTTCTCTCTTCCTGGCTCCAGCATCGTGGGATTGGAGCACCGTCGTCCAACATCGAGGCCCCGTCGTCCACCATCTGCCGTCACCAGAGTTTGTTTATACTTTAGTTTTAGTTGAATATAGGTTAGTATGTAGATCTAGTTTTATTTTTCACATAATTTACGATTATAATTATCTTTTTTAATGAAATTGTAATGTAAAATTATAAATTTTGTAATTTAAGTTTGTAGATCTATTTTTTCGAAATTTCTGTTTTTTTTTTCTCGGATTTTCTGACAATTTATGTATAATTTGTTTTTTGCGATTTTTTTGTTCGTTTTTTTGTTTTTTGTTCGGATGTTGGATGTATGTGTGGAATCGATTTGGGTTTTTTTCTTTTTCTTTTGTTTTTCTGGGTTGTGGGTGCGGTGGATGCCTGACGGTGGTGGGTTTTTTTTTTCAATTTTTTTCGTTTTTCTGGGTTATGGGTGGGTATCAATGGGTCTGGGTTGTTGGGGTTATGGTGTCTGGGTTAAGGGGGTTAAGGTGGTTAAGGGGTGAGTTGGGGTAGGTGGTAGAAGGAAAGAAGCTTGTGGTGGTGGGCTGTGCGTAGGGGTGTATGTATTAGTGGTGGTGGGTTGTTCGTAGGAGGTTGTTGATTAATACCGGGTACCCGGTTTTGGAACCGGTTCCTACCGGGTCCGGGACCAGTTCCAAAAAATTTGGATCCGGTATTAACCGGTTCCGGGACCAGTTCCAATTCTTGGGACCCGGTTATAACCGGTTCCGGATCCGGGTATTACAAATATGACCGGGTACCCGGTCTTGCTCACCCCTAGTTTTTATAACAGTTATCTAAAGGCAAATTACAAGTTCTAATAAGTTAAGATAAAAATTATATTAGTTTAGATAACTAGATAAGTGAAATCGAAGCCACGTTTAAACCAAAGTTTTGCAATTAGTTTAGAATTTCTGTTTTATACGCCCGAGTGTACGGTACACCCGGGTAATCTGCTCATTATTTTTTGCTCTTTATTATATAAGCAAAAATTAATGAGCAAATAACCCGGGTGTACTGTATACCCGAGAGTAGATAACAAATTATAATTACTCTCTCCATTTTTAAATGCTTGCTCCACTTTCCTTTTTCGACCGTTTTTAAATACTTGTTGTTTTGGGTGTTTTTGTCCCTCGTGAGAGTTACGTCACGAAGTCTGATCCGGCTGAGTTGTACCTGCAAAACAACGGAGACTCCGGGTGGTTGGAGCTCCGCCTCCGACGATCAAGTTAGTAGTTTGAAAGGGAATAAAGAGTACGGAAATTTAGGTGGAGATCTGCCTGGATTCCAAGCTCAGGTATTTCTGTGATGTGAAAAAATGTAGGTGTAATCAATGATTGAATGTGTCCCCAAAATGGGGAAATATCTCCCTATTTATAGGGTCCTTGGAGAACGTGCCCCTATTTAGGTCACTTGACCTAAATTTCAGTAGGCTTGTTGTAAAACGACGTTTCTAGGGATTTGGGCCCTTGAAGGCCGCCATTTCAGAGATGTATCTGAGGGCGCCAAGTGTCAAGAGGATATTAAGCCACATGGGTCATCCTGAGCTCGACACGTGGCCTCCTCTCATTAGTCCACGTGTTTAGGGTATTTTTACCTTAAACACTTGTTTCATTTCTTTATTTAGAAATTTTTTACAATATTTAATTAATTTCTCTCACCTAATGAACCCACCATTAATATATTTATTAATTTCATGTTCTCTTTCCTTCAGTCCTTCCGCTACTTTTTCTTTTTACAATTTTTTATTCTTCCAGTTACCACACAACCTCCATATTTTATTACTCCGTATATTGTTCAATTTCTTCTAAATTCCATGCATGAAAATGGAGCAAGTATTTTAAAAGTTTTTGATTAGTTTAGAGCTTAAAAAGGTAATTATCCAACAATGAAGATTTATCGAGAAGCAAACGTGGAGGAAAAGGCGGGAAGACGCGAGGGGAAAGGTAGCGTGAAGAACACGCATAGTTATGATTGAAGCAGAAAGAACAGTTTAATTAAAAAAAGAGGTTGAGTTGTCAATATTAGAGGAAGGGGGTGTGGGGTCTACTTGACGTGGACCTTATCTTTGTGTATAATGTTTATTACGTTGCCTTTTTTAAAAAATAAAAAAGTTTTGTGAGATTAGATCTTGTGGTTGTAAATTGGGTTCTTGTTAGAGATGAGATGTTAATATGTTATGGAGAGTTTAATAAACTTGTTGCACTTTCCCTAGGAAGAAGAATGTAAGTTGGCCCAATTTGTTACAGTAAAATACTCCTTGATCCATATGATTTTCCCCTATTTTTGAGGAGGTAAAGTGAGATTAATGAATGATAGTGTAGATCAATCATACCACGTGGGTGCAAATAAAAAAGCTATACTCCCTCTGTTTTTTTTTAAGCGTTACATTTTCACTAACATATAGTTTTATTTAATTGACTTAGATATTTGAAAGTGATAGTAAGGTATAAAATAAAGATCTTGCGGTTAGAAGTTTGTTAAAAATTAATATATGCGAGAGAAAATAAAGGGCAAATACAAGTTTATCTACCACTTAAACGAATTTTTGTTAATCTGGTGGCATTTTCGTAAATATATTGAAAAAACGTGGTTATTTATTCAGTACTTTTGGTGAGCTGTCCGATTACGGTTTGCAACTTGCTTTTACTGTTTGGTAAGGAAATTACACATGTACCCCTCAACTAATAAATAAAAAGACACATGTACCCCTCTATTGATACTTAAAAAGACAATTATACCCCCAAATAATCAAATTTTGTTTATCCGGGGAATTAACTGAGTCCAGCTCGAAAATAAATACTTTGGCCCTGTTCTTTTGAGTTTTTAATCAGTGTAGAGTATAACAAAAACTTTCAACACTACAGTGCATAGCGGAGCATAGCAGAAACTAAGGGTCTATTCTCATTAACTGAATTGAACTGAATAGTTAATGAGAGAAGGAAATTGGGAGCTAAACTGAACTGAAAATAAGTAAAAGAGAACAAACCCTCAAAAGAATAGAGTCTTCCTTTTTTGTTTCTTTATAGTTGCAACACTTCACATTTTACGTTTTTTCGGCGTATGATTTCAATTGTTAATATATAGCAATGTGTAAATATTATAAACATTTGATATTAAAACAGTATAAATCGAGACGAACCTAACAAGCTCCCACATGACTATATTTTTATATAGCTATAAATCATCTTAATTATTTAAAGTGAAACACCTAAATAATATAAAAGTCAAACTGTTGCAACTGTTAAAGAAAAAAAAAAAAGAGGAATTAATTTTTACTAGGCGAAGAAAAAAGGGATAGCGATGAAGAGTCAAAACTCAAGAGTGTGAGACTTTGATTTGACGAGAATATTAAGCTGGTTAGTAAAAAGGGAAAAGATTGAGGATTATAGAGATGCCAAAGATCAAGCTAGGCGCGCTATTTTCATTTCACATAATCTGATTGAAATTTTTTAAAAAAATAAAAAAATAAAAAAAATAATTTGGTCAAACTTTGACCTAATTTGTACACTAATACCGTAATTCGTAATAGTTCCTCTGTTTCTTTTTTATTGCACCTTGAGTGATCTTGTGATTATCAATGTGATAAAAAAGATCATGTGAATAGTGTAAAAGTATTTATGGTTCAATAAAAGAAAAACGAGAAAGTATAAATTTCATTGAGTGAAATGTCATTAGATTTGTATTAATTAATACGAGTATTTATTTTTCACATATAAGATTTTCATAATTTTTAAATTACGACAATAAAAATATTCAATGATAAATAATCACATAAAAACAGTTTTTATTTTATTTGATTATCTCTAAAATAAGTTGATATCTACTTAAATAAGTTGAACTAAACATAGCTTAAAAAGTGAAGAAATTGAATGAGGTTGCGAATAAATTCAAGTACAACAAGTAATAAAAAAAATGAGGATATATGGAATGAATACGATGAGTATTTAAGAGTCTGTTCTCATTGACTGAACTCACTTGAACTGAACTGAACTGAGCTGTCCTGAACTGAACTGAATATTTTTATAAGAGAAGAAAATTAAGAGCTGAACTGAACTTAACTGAACTGAACTGAATTTCAACGTAAGAGAACATACCCTAAGTGTGGGATAGCTAAATGTTCTTGTTTGTAACACGACATTATCTAAACTCGATCTAATTTCATTTTAAATACTCTGTTTTTTTCTAATACATCAATAAAGCTTTTTAAACATAGTTTTTAATCAGTCTCTCACTTAACATTTTTCTTTGTTGCTAATACAATCAACTCGTGAACGTACTAAACATACTCGTATTTTGATAGAATATAGGAGTGTAACTCCCTAACAAAGTAACAATACTACTCCTGTCCTTTAATTACCAACTCAAATTTCTTTTTGGTACTATGCATATGCATTTACTCGAATATTCTTTTTAGTAAACAAAATCCTACAATTTATTTTTATAATTCATTTTCTAACTTGTGTTTTAAGGGTCTATTCTGATAAACTGAGTTGAGCTGAGCTGAACTGAACTGAACTGATTGGAGCATATTTGAACTGAATTGAAATAAATTGTTTATGGGAGAAGAAAATTAGGAACTGAACTAAAATAAATTGATTGGAGCTGAAATGAACTCAACTGAAATTAAGCTGGAGATAACATACCCTAAATAATCGTTTTACTTACCAAATCAATACTAACTTGTGTTCTAAATGGTATTACCGTATTAGTAGTCTCAATGACTAATGTAGTTAACATCAATTTGGACTTTTATGCTATTATTATTAAACTCAAAAGTATATGATTAAAATGGAAAACAAAAAGGAAATAAGACAAGACATGTCTACTTGTCTAGTGGACAAGTGCATCTTCAAAAGCAATACAATTGCTAAAAAAAAGAAGTGGCGAGGGAGGTTAGTTATGAATTTGCAAATGCATAATAAATACTAAAATATTAAAAAGCATATGGGGGTGAGAGAAAGGAGGAGAGAGATGGATAAGTGGGGCCATTTTTAAATGTACCGTTGAAAGCTTAGATAGTACCATTGACTATGTAGTGATACTATTTCTACACGTAGTGAGTACCACTGAATGAATATATAATTCCACTTACATACATAAATAGTACCATTGAAATGTTCAATGATACCATTTAATCATCTAATGATACAATTGATCATCCAGTGATACTACTCTAAATTCAGAAATGCATTTACGTGAAATGACTCTCATGCCCTCGTTATGCATTTACTCATTAATAACTAACCTCTATTTGGAAGGCCTCCTAAGAAAATTTCATGAATATACAGGGCAGGATAATTAGAGGAAATAAAGCTGTTAATTCGTGATTCATACTGTGGGGTTCGTATCAAGGGCATCGATATTTGTGTGATTGTGTGCGTGTGATGTGTAATAATGGTTGGGCATTGCGTCAATGGATTTTGGCGGTCCAATGATTTAGCTTATCCACCAATCGTTAGTTCGGCCCACAATCAAGCCCAAGGGGTTCCAAAAAAAAAAAAAAAAAAAAAAAAACACTAAACTACTAGCCAGCTACTTCATCCGTTAATGGTTAATTACAACAAAGGGGTATTATTTGTGATATATAAAATATTCCTTTGTTGCAGTTAACCATTAACGGAGGAAATAGATCGTACTCTTGGGTAGGGGTGAAACAAATTCGGGTTAAAACCGAACCGAACCGAAAACCGAACCGAATAAGAAATATGGTTCGGTTTTTTTTTTGAAGTGGTTCGGTTCGGTTTTTTTAAAAAAAATATTTCGGTTTTCGGTTTGGTTTCGGTTTGAGGAAATGGAAAACCGAAAAAAACCGAAAACCGAAATTTAGGCCCAGATTTACCCTAAGTATATAAGGAAAAAAAAAACCCTAACCCTCATTCTCTGATTCTCTCTCCTGACTTCCTCAGTTCCTCGCCTCTTACCCTACCCTCATTGCGAATTTCTCAGTCTCTCACCCTCACTTTCTCAGTTTCTCAATCATCTCTTTTGTGTTTCTCAGAATTCTCACTCTCCATCGTTCACCGGCACTCGTTCAGGCGTTCACTGTGACACCGTCCACCGTCCAAAGGTATGCTTTTAAGTTTTGATTATGCTTGATGTTCATATTTTTTTAGGGTTTTAATTATGATTAGTGTTAAATGTTAATTACGAAAATCTGCAAATTACATGTACAAATTTGTTAAACATTCTGATTAGGGTTTTAATCTATGCTTGATGTTCATATTGCGATGTTGTTTCTGAATTTTCTATTCTGTACAAATTAGTAAAACATTCTGAATTTTCTGGTATTTTGATGCTTCGGGGTTTTGGTCTATTCAAGGGTATTTTGGGTTTTGGTCTAGTAAAACATTATGATTAGGGTTTTGGTCTAGTAAAACATTCTGAATTTTCTGGTATTTTGAAGCTCTATTCGATTGGACTCTGTTGAAGATTGTTTCAGATTATTAGTTAGTTATTAATTCAAGGGTTCGCATGATTAATAGCATTATCATTGTCTTGATAAGTGTTTATTAGATTGTTGATCTTTGTTATTATTGTTAATTTTGATTTTACTTGTTTTGGGTACAGTTAGTCAGTTAGTGCTTAATTTGATTGTTTTTGGGTGGTGGGGTGGAATCTTAGGGGGCTAATTATTATTGCTAAATTGTTATTGTCTTTGGTGCAGTTAGCCAGTTACTACTGATTTTGTTTATTAGGGGTATAATTATTATTATTGGTACTGTAAGTCTCTTTTTTTTATAGGACTATAAATTCATTGTAATTCTTACTAAAATAAATTAACTACAATTCAAAAATATGTAACAAAACTAACAAAACCCAATATTAACTTAATTTCATCTAACAATAATTGTTAATATAATATCATAATAAGTGATTAGGGGATTTTTATCCACCAATCACCGTCTGACAAGTGGACCAACCAGGTTCCGCCACGTGTCCTTCACGAAGGCCAACAGGAGCCTGCCACGTGTCAATCACAGATACGTCCTCTACGGACCAATTTAGACACGCCACGTGTCCACCCATGCCAAATGGGAAAACCGGCCATCAAGGCCCAATCCAGTCTAGAGGCCCGATCAGCCCTAGGTTTACCTTAAACCTAGAGAGTGGCACGCTTCTCAAGGCTATAAATACTTAATTAATCCTCATTAGTTAGGTAATAAAAGAATCAAGAAATCAAGCAGAGAAGAACAGAAATATTACGGAACACCAACAACCGGCTAATCTCGCTAACGACGCAGATTACCAACACTAAGCACTCTCACCTAGAGAGATCTTATTACTTTAATTTCCGTATTAATTACTCCTTAATCAGGTACTAACTTGACCGTTGGAGGCGGAGCTCTCAGGAGTCTCCGTTATTTTGCAGGTACAGGCGTCCGGTTCCAGTCTCGGAATTGTAACTCTCCCGCAGGACATCAGAAAAACCCGAAACATTTGGCGCCGTCTGTGAGGAGAGTACTTCAGAGATGGCATCCAAGTCTGTACCGACTCCAGAAGAGAGGCGTCCCCTAGACGACCCTCAAGTTCAGTCGGACCATGATACCGAAAGTGAATTTGAAGTTGAAACTCATACAGCTCCAGACGGGACCCTAAGGGCCCGACGTACCCGTCATACCGAAAGGAGGGAACGGGAGCATCTTCAAACAGGAAGCGAGCCAGCAGGCGCACCGCTTGCTCGGCAACAGCCGACTGATGGGTCTGCTCCCATCACAAGGAACGAACTCATGACCTTCATGAGGGACTTCAAGGGAGAGATTCAAGAGTTGATCAACAAAAAACCGCCTGCTTCAGTCAAAGAGCAGTCGGCCAAGAAACCTTCCACTTCACTGAAGAGGAAGCCAGTTCAAGGGCGAGAGGCGACTCCCCATCCTAAATCCAAGAAGCGGGAGCCACCTGCTCTTGATTTCACAAAACTCCATTATCCTACGGGAAATAGGAAACCGGTTCGTCATATTCAGGCGGACGGGTCAAAGCAAACGTTCACAGATGCTCGGCTCCTGCTAGAGCAGAAGAAGAGTGACCGATTATCAGAGTCGGCTTCTACTTCAAATTTTCAGGACAGTTTGCGAAATGCCTCGATGAGGCATACTCAGTCGTACCATGAGAGTCAGTCAGGCGGCACCTCCCGTCAGTCCGGCTTTCATAGTGCCCAGGCGGTACCAAACTTACCATTTGTGCCGCAACAACAGTATTTTATGCAGCCACCTCCATTTGGTGGACCTGCAGCAAAAAAACGTCCAACCTATGGACTGGCAGCTACGGCTGCTTAGACTTGGTGAACAGCCGTCGGCCTTCTCCAAGGAAATTACTGAAGCCGCTCAGCCGGCCAAAGTAAAAAATGTTCTAGTAGGCGCCTATGACGGCACTACTAACCCAGAAGACCATCTGATGGCATTCACCAACCTGATGTACCTTCAAGGGTTGGATGATCCCACTTGGTGCAAGTGTTTCCCAGCGACTCTCAAGGGAATTGCACAGCAATGGTTCGGCAACCTGCCGACTGGTTGTGTAAACAGCTTCAGGACGCTTGCTTACTTATTTGCCTCCAACTTCGCTATGAACATCCCTGCGAAGAAAACGACCCTTGATTTGGGAACAATTCAGCAGGGCGAGAAGGAGGGGCTACGTTCTTACATCAGGCGGTTCAACCTGATGAGAATACAGATTCAAGGGTTACCGGATGAGGTAGCTTATACTGACTTTTTTAGAGGTCTCAAAGACGGGTCTACCTTCAAATTTGATTTAGTTCGAAAAAGGGTGGCGACTCTTCAAGAGGCCTTGATTGAAGCAGAAGCCTATATACAGGCGACTGATCTGTGTACGATAAAACAGTCGGACGGGAAGAGGTTCGACAAAAGAGAGGGACGACAGAAACAGTCGTCCAACAAAGATGAGAAAAGAAAAGAGGTCTGGGCGGCTGATTCCTCTAAACAGCCGACTCAGAAAAAGAAAAAAGAATTCAAACCATACTCCCCAAAGTATGTGTTTAACAAGGATAACCAGTTTATCCTAAAAGAAATAAAGGGACGGTTCTCAATTGAGAAGCCGCTCCCCATGAAGGGTTCTGCGAGCAACCGGAACCAAGACAAAATCTGTGCTTATCATGATGACGTTGGTCATCACACCAATGACTGCATCAGTCTCATGCGGTACCTAGACCGCTTGGCTGATCAAGGTGATCTTGACACTTATGTCAAGAAATCTACGGGGAACACTTCCTCAAAAAAGCAGTCGGCCAAAAAGAATCAACAGGCCGACAGTTCCGATACAGATGATGCAGTCGTCTACACCATTGCAGGCGGCTTCTCAGGAGGCGGCCCCACTATTAGGGGCAACAAAGATAATATAAGGCGGTTAGATGTAAATTCCGTTCACCAAGAACGGCCGTCCAAATATACATTTCCTGAGATTGTCATCACTGAAGAGGATCTAGGAGGAATAAGGGGGCCGCATGACGACCCTCTCGTTATTGAATGTAAAGTGGCCAACCAGAGAGTTGGCCGAATCCTCATAGATACCGGGAGCTCCTCAGATCTCATCAGCAGCAAATGTCTGTCAAAACTGAAATATCAGACGGACTGCATACATCCGGCCTCCCACCCTTTAATAGGGTTTGGAGGAGGAGTCGTCCACCCACTGGGACGAGTAGATCTACCCATTCGCCTGGGCGAAAAAGGGGAAGGACGACACATGGTAGTCCGGTTCCTAGTAGTAGAGGAACTCTCGGCCTACAACATGATTCTGGGTCGACCAACCCTGAATAATTCCAAGGCTGTTATAATCCCGTCTCTTATGCTGCTTAAGTTTGAGAGGGATAATGGAACAGTCGGCTCCCTAAGGGGAGATCAGAGGATGGCCCGAGAGTGCTATCTCTCGGATGTCAAGCCCACTGTTATGGCCACTGGGTCAAGTGGAGAAAAAACAGACCTTGACAATGTCAAGGAGAGTGCGCCTGTTCAAGAAACAGGCGACAAAAAGAGAAAGGTGTCCCAGACAGAGTCCGCAAGAAAAGCAAGAAAATAGCAATCATTGGCAGAGGAGCGGCCGGATGAGTTCCGCCCTCAGCCGGCTGGTGAGCATGCGGACCTGATATTAGACGACTCACGTCCTGACCGAACAGTCAAAGTTGGGACGACTGCTCTGAGAAACCTTGGTGACGACTTTCACAACCTGTTGAAAGAATACAAGGACATCTTTGCATTTGAAGTCCATGAAATGCCAGGCATTAGTCCTGATCTGGCAGTACATAAACTCGCTGTGGATCCGAAAAAGAAGCCGGTACGGCAAAAGAAGCGGAACCATGGTGAAGAAAGAGGTCATGCGGCAGCCGCCGAAGTCAAAAAATTACTTGATGCAGGGTTCATTCGGCAATGTTACTTCCCAGATTGGGTTGCAAATGTGGTGCTTGTTAAAAAGCCGAATGGCACCTGGCGAATGTGTGTAGACTACACAGACTTGAACAAGGCGTGCCCCAAAGACAGTTACCCTCTGCCTAAAATTGATAACCTGGTCGACTCAACAGCCGGCCATGCCATGATGAGTTTTATGGACGCTTATTCTGGTTTCCATCAAATTCCTTTATGGAAGAAAGATCAGGAGAAGACGGCCTTCGTCACTGATCAGGGATTATACTGTTACACGGTCATGCCGTTTGGTCTTAAGAATGCCCCGGCTACCTTCCAACGAATGATAAACACAGTGTTCTTTGATCAGATTGGGAGAAACGTCGAGGCATATATTGATGATATGATTGTCAAAACTAAACTTCAGAAAGATCATCTGACGGACCTCCGAGAAACTTTCGCCACACTCAGGCGGCACCATGTCATGCTCAATCCCAAGAAATGTGTATTTGGAGTTGAGTCTGGGAAATTTCTCGGATTCCTTATCAATCAGAGAGGAATAGAGGCGAACCCTGAGAAGGTACAGGCGGTCATTGACATGCAGTCGCCTCGTACCGTCCGAGAGGTTCAGAAGTTAACAGGTTGTCTGGCGGCCTTGGGGAGATTCCTAAGCCGATCAGGCGACAAATGCCTATACTTTTTCCAGGCAATTAAGAAAAAG